GAGAGAGAGAGAGAGAGAATGTATGAATGAATGAAATGCATGCGAAGCACACTTCTGATGTGGGCAAATGGTGTTGTTTGGCTGGCTGGCCTGCATGTAGTTTTCGGTTGGGATGGGAACTGCGTCTGTATGTGGTCAGCTTTGTGGTTGCTGGCTACGGTGAATCTCTGTAGCTGTGGTTGTGCTTGTCTGTGTGTCTATGTCGTTCTTCTGGCCTTTGTGTTTGGGGCTGGCCGCACATCTATCTGGGACCGCTTACCGCGTTGGGGCTGCCTGTTCTGTGTGTCCGGGGTGGGTGGGGAAAAGAGCTCTGTGTCTCCGGGGCTTGAGTTTAAGTTGTGTGGGGTGAACAGAGGTACTGGAAGGTCCAATAAGCAGCGAGGCCTAAGACGGACGGGTGAGACACAGATCCACAGATCCCTGGAGTGGGTTCCTTCTCCTGGAGTGTGGTCACTGTGCAGCATGGACCTTTGCTTGCCACTGCACTGTTTGTGCGCTCGTTTGTCTTTGCAGTTCCTCTACCTTTTCTGCTTCGCATTCTGAATGCTTGGGTGGTTCCGTCCCTCTCCCCAAGAGGGATGAGTTGGCAACCTTCTAATCAGTGACGTCAAAAAAAAAAAAAAAAAAAAAAAATTGTCGGCCACATTATGCGAGGAGATAATGATAACATCAGCCCTCGCTCCAGTACGCAACGTTCTCGATGCATCTGGTAGGCAGGGTACTGTAAATAGGCCCTATAAATTCAAAATTTTGCTTCAGTCAGAATGTATATCTATACGCGATGCCTCATTCCACATAGATTTAGGATGTTGTGTTGTGGAGCGAGGCGGCCCGATATGCATATTTTTTGAAGCTGTGCAGAGCCTGCAGACTAAACAAGAGTGGATGTTAACCTCTGACTGCGCAAAAGAAGAAGAAGAAGAAGAAGAAGAAGAAGAAGTTAATACTGAGGCTACATTGTCTTGCTACCTTTGGCAGGGGCGAGGTTGCAGTTCTCCTTGAGGATGTGGACACTTTCAAGAGTCGCTTAGAGACCGAAGGTGGGGGAAGCAGTTATGGTCGTGTTGCTGATGCCATGAGTACTCCTCAGGGTACCACCCTGCAGTCGTATCCATTGATGTCTTCGTTAAGTGCTTCTGGGTCAAGAACATCGTACATGCCATCTTCCAGCAGCTTCTTGATGAATGTGCGGGAAGGATGTACGTCGAGCAGTCTGGGGCTGTGTGAGAGGGCGGGGGACCCGTCCTCCGGACTTTGTCGAATGGGACCAGGGAACCTATCGGGCTCCGGTTTTTCGAATGGCTTTGGCTCCCAGCTATGTCAGAGTTTTGCCACCGACTCCCGCTTCCAATGGAGCCCCCAAGGGAGGGATGTTGTGCTCGGGAGCACGCCATTTCCGTCAGCATCTTTGAACGGCAGTTGTTACAGTGGAGGGGCGGACCCTCGTAAACACCCGCAGAATCCCGTCGGAGAAGTGGATAGTGCGGTCGATGTGCGCACAATGCAATTTGCACTACACGAGTCCACGGGCGTTGCTAGACTGCACGAGAGCGGAACGAGGGCCACGCAGAGCATTCTTGACATGCAAGTGGGAAGCGGCAATTCGTCGTGGACGCCTGGGAGACCAGTCCACGTGCCGAACGTACTGGACATGTGCTCCGCAGAGGACGAGCACAAGTCCGTCGAGGCATTCTTCGAAGGTGAGGCGGCAGAACAGATTGAGTACGAGATGCGTCTTGCCCTGTCTCGGAACGAGGCAACAAGGGTTGTTGCAGAGAGTCGCGGTCTCAGTGCGGAGGATCAGACTGTCGTCAAACGAACTCTGTGCGGAGTCCCAGAATGGGGGGAAGAGGTTGTTGCGGCGAACGGGGCAGGGACGAAAAGTGGCTTGGATGACGACGGATGGCAGCTCCTCGAAATGGGCGGCGCGGTCGTGAGCAAGGGGAAAGCGGATGGGTTGAGTGAGAATGGTGGTGATGCTCAGCTTCCGAATGGCACGGGTCCGCCGCAGAAGACAGGCATGGTGTCGATGGATCGGACAATCGTTCGCCAGCCTGCTGCGGATGCTGCGGTTCTGCTATAGCAAGTTGGGAGTACACACGTATGACGGCACGTGCTCCGCACCTCTGCCTTCTCGTCGAAGATAGAAGCTCATATGTTTTCTGCATTTGTGAGCACTTTGTTGTTCCCAGCGGCGCACCCGTGTCCCCGGTACAAAGAGTGCTCAGCGAAGACTGCAGAAGCAAGGACGACGGTTAGTGAAAGAGTCGTCTGTCTATTGTCGGCTTTCAGTTGTTTATTCCCTTTTTTGAAGTTTTTCGCATACTTTTTGGGAGAAGATGTAGCATTGTACACACCCTTAGGATAGGATTACCATAGTTAATAGGAACTAAGTTGAACCAACTCCGATGCTTGAGAGAGAGAGAGAGAGAGAGAGAGAGAGAGAGAGAGAGAGAGAGAGAGAGAGAGAGAGAGAGAGAGAGAGAGAACTTAGGTGTGGGGTAGAGTTAAAAAGTTGTGAAACCCCTACCATAAAAATTTTCGGAATTCAAATTTGTCAATATGATGGTGTTGCAAATGTGATATGGTAGCGAACGGTGACTATAGCGTCTATAGTGTTCCAAACAGATTTGAGCGTGCTCGTATAGCTGTAGGGTCCTTTTAACTTTTTTAACTTCAAAGTTTTAAGTCCTTTCCCTCCACTTTCACAACACAGACATAGAGGGGGAGTTGGATGGACCGATGCGCCCACCATCCATCACTCTTGAAAAAACTTTACTTTGTGTGTCTGTCTCATCATTCTCTCATGTGATGTGCTTGTTGTCCTTTGTGTTGTTCATCATCCGTCGACCCGGGAAAAAGTGAGGGGCGGAAAAAATAAAAAAATGGAGACGATGATTATGAAGTCCTACGGTTTAACAGCTGCATCGACGAACGGTGGGGGAAAAGAAAACAAGCGGGAATCGGGCATTCGGGCTTGACAAGGGGAACAGAAAAGGATTCTGCGTAGACTGGTTTTCTTAGGCTGCTGTGTCTGTTGATGAAGTGTATCGACGCTTGAGTGAGTGGACGTCCAGTTTTATGCATGCATTTTCTGCTCCGGGCTTTCGGCTTTTTTTTTTTCTTTTTTTTTTTCCGACTGTCCAAGTTGAGAAATGAATGTGGTCAAGGACTGGGTGGCTCCAGGGTAGAGGAGGCTCTCTGCGCACCCGCGGAGCAGTCGTTTGAAATTTGAACTCATTTCACAATTTGTGCGGCGGAGACGTTCGATAGAAATCCGTAGCGTAGGGGAGTCTTTGTTGGATATAGTAGTGTGCAGCTGGAGAGGCGTTTTTTGCTGTTGGCGTTTTTTTTTTTTTTTTTTTTTTTCTCTCTGGCTGTTCGGTTTTTGGCTTTTGACATGTAGAAGAATGTCGGAGAGGGGCAGGGGCAGGAAAAGAAAAGTCTCTCTCTCTGTCTATAAGTCAAGGGACATGGACAGACATTTCCAGAAATGGGAATGGTGACCGATTGGTTTTTAACTTTTTAGGGGTACTATTTTCCTACGAGGCAACGATGTTTTTTTTCTGTTTTTTTTTTTTTTGGGGGNTTTTAAAGAGAGAAATATTAATGCTCTTCAAAACAATAATTTTTTTATCAAAAATAACCGCAGTTAGATGTGTATAAGAGACAGGGGGGGGGGAGAAGCTATAACAATGTTGAAGAGAGGTAGCGAGGGTCTAAAAGAGGAGGACAGAAAGGGGTCTTCACGTACCTTCGTTGTGCAGCTAATTAATGCTCTCGATTACCTGTTAAACATAACAAGGTGTAGCGCAGTCTGTTTTTGGTGCAGTGCGTTCTGTGTTTGAGATGCAGATGGACGGACGTCAGTCGTCATAAAGGCTCAAGGTTCAAATCTCTGTTTCATCAGTCCAGGAGCAGAAAAAACTTTCAGAAAAAGACGAAAGTGAACAAACGGTGACCAGGCGCGTACGATCGAGATCGCACGACGGCGAAATTCTGCAGGTAGAGAGTTGATTAATGTTTGGTTGCTGCTTCGCCTTGACGTTGTCGTTGTCTTTTTTTTTTTTTTTTTTTTTTTTTCAGCGATTTGTCGCGAGATAAACGACAGGTAAGAAAAAAAGGACCCTACCGCCTTGTCAGGTTTATACCCTTTTTTTTTTTTTTTTTTTTTTTTTTTTTCTTCTTCTTCTTCTTCTCCCCACTGAAGATGCAATGTCTGGACAGACATAGTCGGTATTGCATATGCAATATTATGCATGTTAGACACAGCCAATGGAGACCAAGTGCAGTGCACATTCACACACGAGAATTACAGTCGTTACAGCATATAAAAAATAAAAAATAAAAACCGTTGTAATTAGCTGAGTTGTGAAAACAGAGTAAAGGACTTGGCCGCGTCACACCAGCCGTCACCACCGTCCCCACTGAAGGCCTTCGAGGCTTTTGAGACTTTTCTTAAATTACACTGTTTATTACAGTGCAGTTACATTTTTAAGTTTTTAACTGATAGTCAGTCACACAGCGACACAATCCATTGGAGAACCTGGAACTCAATTAACTCTCGACGCCACTCTACTTGGTGCATTGATTGAAAAAAAAATTAAAAAAAATGACACCTCTCTACTTGTCGAATATCCAGATACATCTCTAACTTTCCAAATTTTAGAGCGACTTGCACCGGAATGAAGTTAGCGAAGTTTCTCTGGCATCTTCTTCTCGCTTCTCTTTTTTTTCCTTTTTTCTTTTTTTTTGAGAGGTGACGGAGGTTTAATCAGACTAAATGCTGAGAGGTGGAGTAATTTTTGAATTCGTGGATCGTGTTGAGGTGAACTGGAGGCTCAAGAGGCAGGCTCTGTTGTGTGTGTGTGTGTGATGGGCAGGCTCTGTTGTCTGGCTTGCTTTGCAGTTTTTTTTGTTTTTCTATGTTTAAAAACACTTCACTGTTTTGGAGGACAGTCTGATGTGTTGCTGGAAAGAGCAGTAGTAGTAGTAGCAGGTGATCGGACAGCCTTGAGGGAAGATGGCCGTGGTGAGAGAGCACACCTCGACGAGCTGAGGGATTGCATCTAGTCATCGAGTGCTCTACGGTCACAACAGCTGGGGGACAGAGTATCGGGCTTGATGCTTGTACTGGTCAGATAGAGCACAGGTAAGGATGACACCTCCACATGCATATTTCTCTCACATAATCAAAGTCTTGTGGATAGGGCTTGCTTCAGCCACATTAGAGGGGGGGGAGAGAGAGAGAGAGAGAGAGAGAGAGAGAGAGAGGGGGGGGGGGGGGGGGAGAGAGTTTGGCCACAGGAAAGACGGCAACATGTCATGGGGTTTCTCACCCGAGGGATGAAGGCATGTGTTGTTCTCACACACACACACACACACACACACACACACACACACACACACACACACACACACAGAGAGAGAGAGAGAGAGAGAGAGAGAGAGAGAGAGAGAGAGAGAGAGAGAGAGAGAGAGAGAGAGAGAGAGAGAGAGAGAGAGAGAGAGTTTGGCCACAGGAAAGGTGGGAAGATGTTCTAGGGTTTTCTCCCAAGATACGGAGGCACGTAAGTCGTTCGACTGACCTTCGGACATAGTTGTGGTCGGATACATCCAAAAATCGATCGTCACTGCGGTCAGTTACATCCAGGAAGGGTGAGAGTACACTGTGAGAATTGTGATCGCACTTTGAAAGAAGTTGACAAATGACGGAAAAAAGGGTGGGGTGAAGGTATTAGCTGGGTTTGGGGGGGTCGGGTCAAGGTATTCACTGGTTTGGGGGGTGGGGTGAAGGTATTAGCAGCTGGGTTTGGGGGGTGGGGTCAAGGTATTCGCTGGGTTTGGGGGTGGGGTCAAGGTATTAACTGGGTCTGGGTTTCAGTAAAACAAAAAAAAGCTTTCCGTCCATGTGAAAATACGCGATTGTCCTGTCTCAGCGTTCGCGAATGTTATCGTCGCATTCCTCCGCCATCCGCAGCTTTTTATGTTCCTTGTTTGTTTAGTCAGAAACTGGGGCTACCTTCGTTTTTTTTTTAAAAACAAAATATCATCTGGGGCGCTCTATACGTCTGTGGACCTTAACTCTCTCAGCCACCACTTAACTTTCCGGGGGGTACCGATAATCGTTGCGGTACCGGTTTGTCGAGGACTGGTGTGTAGATGTTTTTTCCTACTTTTGCTTGATGAGGGTGGTTTTAAGTTTTAACTGCTTGAGCAAGGAAATGGCAGACGGAGCACAGCATGAACATAAATGGTGATAAATTCACATGCCTGTTGTTCCCCCTTCCCCCTTGTCTCTCTCTCTCTCTCTCTCTCTCTCTCTCTCTCTCTCTCTCTCTCTCTCTCTCTCTCTCTCTCTCTCTCTCTCTCTCTCTCTCTGCCCCCTCCCCTCCCCACACTCTTCTATATTTTTGGCGTGTCCTCGAGACGCTGCTCTTCTTTATTACGTTGCTTGAGGACGGCATCTGTTGTCGTGATAGTCGCAGCAGAAAGAGTTAGTTTTTCCTTTGCCCTCCCCCTTTGTCCATGAAGTTACCATAATGCCCCTCATCGTGCTAATATTCAAGGTTGGCTTTTATGCGAGTTCCAAGCTACAAGGGTCTTTGCTCGTGCAAGGTTCTTGTGGTCCTCACCACCGTACCATGGTTTATTCTGGGAGCTGTTTTCTTTTGGCTGGACTTGTTTTACTTGAGGCACGCTGCATGGCTCTGATGCGGTCCCGCGTGACACACACGGCGCTTCTGTTCTCGCCTTGCTGATGTCAGGTTAGGAAGACATTTATTAATCCTTAATTTTCAATTTTCAATTTTCACAATTTCGGAATTATATTTTTTGAACTTTCTTTTTTTTTTCAATTTTTTTTCTATGTTTTCAATTTTTTTCAATTTTTTGAAATTTTTTTAATTTTTTGTAATTCTTTTCAATTCTTTTCAGTTTTTTTCAATTTTTTTCAATTTTTTTCATTTTTTTTCATTTTTTTTCATTTTTTTGGGGTTTTCTGACGATTTAATGAGGCCAGTTTTGTCCTGAGGATTGTCGACTGGATGGAAGGCACCGCTGTCTTCCACTTATTCTCAATGGTGGGCCTTCGTTCTCTCTTTTTTTTTGAAAATTTGTTCCCTTTTTTTCTTTGGTTTCCGGGCAGCAGCTTATATGCTTCCAAACGAAGCGATGATAATGGGAGTCGACTTGTTTTGTGGATTTTTTGTGGAGCTTTTCGCGTCTGCTGCATTTCATAACATGCTGTCATGTCTCTTTTTTTTTTTTTTTTTGCTCTCCTAACGATGGCTAACATGCTGTTGTGTCGTTGTTTGAGCGAGAATTGAAATTATGGGCCGCGTGTAAGCAGTGCGTAGTCATCCAGGGGCCAAGTCCCACTAGCAGCGTCGAGTTTCCCTAACGCCCGAATCTGGACGTGTTTGAAGAGATGTGCAGAAATCGCGTTGAGTTTCCTCAACTGTGGATCTCCACAAAAACGTCCAGATTCAGGCGTTAACTTCTGTTAAGTAACTCGACAGTTCCAGTGGGGCTTGGCCCCCGAAGAATTCAAAATAGGGAACTCTTTTTAACTCAAAAAGAGCTTCAATTTGCTTAGTTGCATTTTTCGTTAAACGAGACGCCTAGTAACGGAGGCAGTGGGAAGTTTTTTTTTTGTACGTCTCTCTATTTTTTTTTTCCTTTTCAAAAATTATCTCAGTCGTCTCTCGAACTCTTTCTAATTCATCCTCTCGCTACCCCTACCTACGTTAACCGTCACTTGTTTGAAAAAACAATAGCTCTTCGTGCACTTGAACTGGCGACTTTCACCACTTCACAGCTAATTCACCGCCTACGTGCCCTTTATGCCAGGCTATGGGGGGGAAAGAAGGAAAAAAAAAAAAAAAAAAAAAAAAAAAAAAAAAAAAAAAAAAGGAGGAAAAAGCTTGCAAAAAGGAAAAAGGAAAAGAAAAGCCCGAGCATAGTGCCAGTAGCTGCGTGTCCCTTTCCGTCTCTCCACCTTCCCCCCCGCCTCCCCTCCCCCCTTCCAAACCAGATAACAGCAATATCTGCTCTCACATACGTGTTGGCAGAAGAGCCTACTAGCACCTACCTGTAGGCTTCAGTTGCACCCTGAACCACTAGGGCAAGGGGCAGCATGCATCCACCCTCTCATTGTGAGAGGAGGCAAAAAGCTATGCTTGCAGGGGTCCCGCTAGTGGAGGTAGGGACTTATTGCATTTTTCGTTCATTTATCTGAAAGGAGCGTCTGAACCTCCTTGAGTGAGGTAGTAAGAGTGGCTGGGGACCACTTGCCCGGCCTGGTGGGAAAAAATAATAATAATAATAATAATGAATTTAAATTTGGTAAAGAATTTCGATGTGACCCTAGTGAAAGAAAGATATGTCCCATGTCTCATGGGACATATCTCACATAACTTTCGATGTGACCCTAGTGAAAGAAAGATATGTCCCATGAGGTGGCAGAATGGCAGTTAACAAATATGTGAGGTGAGAGAAAATATATGGCTGTCCCTCGGGGCCGAGTCCCACATACACCGTTGAGCCAGTGAAAAAAAACAAAATAGTGAGTGCGCGAGCACGTTTTGAAACCGCCATCTTTGGCGATTTTTAATTTTTGTTTGGCTTCGCAAAATGACTTCAAAATTTATAGGCATGTACCTCACATCATAGAGTACTCACAAAAAAAAAAAAAACATTCAGAAAAAAAGTTATATTTTAGGTCTCGAAATACTTTTTGACGGGGGCCGAACGCCTTCAGGTTTGGACCCCAAAGGAGGCCCCAAACGCTTGTACGTACGGCGGTCGACCCGGGGACCTCTGTACGGACAGGCTGGTGACCCTGATACAACCAAATTTTGCTTGGGAGTCATCCCCGAATTCCCAACCGAAGTTCAGTAAGAAATCAAAAACTAAGGAAAAGCTAATGTTATTATCGTAATAATAATTGAAAAACTATTTAAAATTTT